GTTCAAATTTTTTCCCCTTCCTAAGCAACAGCTCTTTCCCGAACCATCAAGATCTTGGTAATTCTCTCCGCAGCATCGCCTAGCACGTTCTTTTTTAAATTCTATTTATTTGACAGCCTTTCCTAAGAAACCAAAAGAGAAAAAAAAAAAAAAACTTCTGATTAAAAACACAATTTTTAAAAGAGTTCGAACGAGAAGGTACCTCTTAACGCAAGATCTGAATTAACGTGCTCTGTAAATCCAGTTTCATAAACATGTCTTTCTTAGGTCTGTTCTTGTCTTGAAAGCCATATCCTGTCATCGTCTTTGTCTAAATGGTCTAACGACAAGCCCAATCAAGCCTTCGTATGATCGAGTTTGGTCTTCTTAGTGCACGCATCTTGCTTTTAAGATTGAATGGGATTCTTTATAGATTAGATATATCATACTTAGAAGGGAAAACATGGTCCACCACATGCTTCGTTTAGCCGAGTGAAGGTTGAAGCCTTCTTAGAATTCCAGACACAATAATGGAGACGACTTTCTTTTGTTCTGCTCCTTCAAGGACAATCACAATAAGTTGAGAAGTACTCTGTCATCAATTGAATATCAACTAGAAGTGGTTTGGATCATTGAAGAGAATAGATCTTTGGTAGTAAATTCCCTGATTTTCTTTGATTGAAGAACACCACAAAACCATGGAAGCCTTTAAAAGCATGACAGGTTTATTTCTATCTAATTTTTAAAATTTTTATCCCCTAACCTAGCTTTTTTTCATAAGAAAAGGATACACGCACATAAGTGTGTTAACATTGAGTTATCATTAAAATAACTGACCGTTGACTTTTTTATTTAATTGTTGACAAGAGAAAAGTACACAAAAAACCTTATTATTTACAAAGTATACAAATATTTTTTCTATAATAAAAAATTACTTCACAATTTAAATTTTAAAATTGTAACTTTACAATGGACACAGAGTGTGGATTCTATCTAGAAGTAGGAAAAAAAAAACATTTTTAAAGAGTATAAAAAAAAGTTTGTTAGCTTTGCAAATGATAAGACACTTTTAAATACATTTCCATTCTCAACTATCAAATAGAATAAATAATCAGAATCTTTCAACTTTTCATTCACTACATGAAATTCATTGCATGTGATTCAAATCTAGTTTCATCAAGTAGAGAAATCAAAAAGAAATCACCATCATGTAAAGAAATCAAGCCTTTGCTAATTGGGTCCATTACTTTCTTACAGTATTAATCAAAAAGAAATTGATCAAAATTAAATGGACCTTGATTCTTGTTGCCCTAAAAAGGTTCTAGAAAGTTTAATTGAAAAAAAAGAAGAAGTGTGTGTGTGTGTGTGGACTTAGCGTCTTATATGTCAGCAGGACTTGCCTAATTCATATATTTATTTCTTCTATAATATGTCTATAATAATTCTTTTTGCAGTGTTGTTGCATCAGAGAAAGAGAGAATGTAATTACAAAATTAACTATACAAAGAAACTTAAATTCAAATATTATTATATTCATTAATTATTTATTTTGTGAATTCAGGAGTTCCTAATCAAAAGTATGATGGGATCATTATCTTACAAGTGGAGGGGTGATTATGAGTTGGGATTAGCATCAAGGACTTGTTGAACATGATCTCACTTTCACTACTCCTCATTTCTACATACACATGATCACCGTGTTTAGCCTTTGTTGAAAAGATGATTATTGACATAAATATCTCACACGGTGTTCCGAGCATGTCCCCAAACTCATTTTCATAGAATATAACTGGATATAATGTGGCCCATGTTCTATTCCCTCTTCGTATCTTGCCCTTTCTAAGCCAATGTTCCCCACCATATCCAGGAGATCTTGGCAGTTTCAGGGAAGAAAACAGATACTAACTTGTAAGTATATCTGAAATAATTATGCCAAAATTGACTTCAATCACATTTCTGAGCCGTTCAAATTCTATTTCTCTCATTCGAAACTCAGATTGTTTTATTCAGATTTTTATTTTATTCTATCACCTGATTCTTGAGAACATGAAGCATCACTAACACCTACCCAAACTAATTTAAATCTACATTGTGAGATTATAATTATCAACCATAAATTCAAGTATACCTTAAAAATGTCTTTAATATTTATATATAATATGACTACATATTTTAAGATTTGAATTTGAGATTTGCTGATTCAATTTTTTTTTTGACAAATTAAATCAAATGTAGTGGGATCCATTAAATATTTCACTGACCTCTGCTTATAAACCCACCCCACTTACACTCTTCAATCTCATGACTCTCTCAATTTTCCTCCTTTAGATAGAACACTCAAAGAAGCAGCCTTTCTTTCTTCTTCCATGGCAGCCATGGCCATTGCAACTCTCACCCCCTCTCTTTATTCAAACCCTAAATCCTCTTTCACTGCCTCATCCTTCCATGGCACGCCCATTCATTCTTCTCGCTTCAAGGCCATCAAATCCACCGCCACCTCCTCCACGATCTCCATGTCCCTAACCTCACCACCTTACGATCTCCAGTCCTTCAAATTCCAGCCCATCAAAGAATCCATGGTCTCCCAAGAAATGACCCGCCGATACATGACCGACATGATCACCTACGCCGACACCGACGTCATCGTCATTGGTGCCGGCTCCGCCGGACTCTCCTGCGCCTACGAGCTCAGCAAGAACCCCTCCGTCCAGTAGCGATCATCGAACAATCCGTCAGCCCCGGCGGCGGTGCGTGGCTAGGCGGGCAGCTCTTCTCCTCCATGGTGGTCCGCAAGCCGGCCCATCTGTTCCTGGACGAGCTGGGCGTCGAGTACGACGAGCAAGAGGACTACGTCGTGATAAAGCACGCGGCCGTGTTCACGTCCACCATCATGAGCAAGCTGCTGGCTCGGCCGAACGTGAAGCTGTTCAACGCAGTGGCCGTGGAGGATTTGATCGTGAAAGAAGACAGAGTGGCCGGGGTGGTGACGAACTGGGCGTTGGTGTCGATGAACCACGACACACAGTCGTGCATGGACCCGAACGTGATGGAGGCGAAGGTGGTGGTAAGCTCTTGTGGACACGACGGGCCGTTCGGCGCCACTGGAGTGAAGAGATTGAAGAGCATCGGCAAGATCGATAGCGTTCCAGGGATGAAGGCGCTGGACATGAACGCTGCAGAAGATGCGATTGTGAGGCTGACGAGGGAGGTCGTGCCTGGCATGATCGTCGCTGGTATGGAAGTTGCCGAAATTGATGGAGCCCCAAGAATGGTATGTCATCTTCTTCCTTGGTTTGATATATATATATATATAGAGAGAGAGAGAGAGAGAACATACTTGTATTGTATCGTTTCGTCTGAAAACGTTTGACGAATTGTCGAAATTAATGTTGAAGGGTCCGACCTTTGGGGCGATGATGATATCGGGGCAGAAGGCGGCACATCTGGCTTTGAAGGCGTTGGGGAAGGAGTAGAACAATACGATTGGTGGGACTTGTGAAGTTAGCAGTGAAGAAACTGAGCTCATTTTTGCCTCTGCTGACACTGAAGACATTGTTGATGCTTATATATATATATATATATATATATATATATGAAGTTGGAAGTTTTTGTTGTAATTTTTACTGCTCTTGTAGTTTCCGTAGTTTTGAAGCAAATGTGTAAAGGGTAAAAGAATGTGAATGAAGCAGAGACATTTCAGTTTGTCTCACTTTAATATTGCAGATTAATCACCAGCATGTATAGGTGAGGCCGTACGTGGTGACACATTGGAATTAATTAATGAAATTAAATAAATGTGGAATGTTGAAATTCGGCAGGCCATATATTTCAAAAGAGAAAAGCTGATCACACTAAGAATGCATGTGATGTGTAACAGCGTGCGTTGAGAATTGCAGAAATCACAGACATGTACACTGCTCTTCAATAATAAACACATTAAAGAGTTACCATAATTAATCCAGTTGTGTCCCATATATATATATATATATGAACCATCATGAAAGAACAGAATTGGGTGTTATTTTATTTAGATGATATGATCTTATATTTCTTCCCCCTGCTATTGCTTCGTTTAACTGTCTTTATTAAAATTTTGAACGCTACTGAACTTAGATAAAACTTTTTAGGTCTCCTTGCCATACTAAGGTTAAAAATATCAACATAATGAAATGCCTGTGCGATGAATTATTCTATAACAGTAAATATTACTTTTATTAAAAATTATAAATCACTTTTTAACTAATTTACACCTGCAATAAGTTGTAGCCTTTGAAATTTCATCCTTTCTATAATTGTCTTTAATAAATAAGGTGTCTATTTTTTGTGTAAAAAAAGTTTTAACTCTACCTATTCTCTTCTCGTCACTTTCAATTAAATTACATAAAGAATTAAAGATAGATTTTTAATTAAAAAATTGGAATCGCCAATATCCATACATTATAGATAGGTAATGAAATAGCAAGACAATGATGAGGCACCAAACAAGTTGTGGTGAAGAAAATTAGAAAAGCTTTGAACATATACATTCATGGCATAAAATTAAAATATGTAAGTATATGATGTAGATTAATCGAGACTATTTAAATCAATTTAAACCTTACGCAAAAAGGGCCGGAGAATTATATTCTGAAGTTCCTTACAAAATAGTTGTGAATTTTGTTTGCTAATTAAATTTTTTGGTTGTCCAAGATCTCTTTACATCCAACAACAGTCATGAGATTAATTTTTTAAGAAATCAAACTCTAATATAATATTTAAGAGATCAGACCATTGCCTTTGTTTCCTAAACTGTCAATGAACCTTGTACCCTTGCTTGATTGGGATTTTTTTTTGAAAAAAATAACTTAGTTAAAAGTTTTTTCCTTAAAACAGAAGGGCTGTAAAAGATTCGTGAATTGTCCACCATGGAAGAAAAGGATTGGTCAGTGCAACACATCTTTTGCTTACGTGGCGGTAACTGATTGGAAGTCAGCCAAGACTCAGTGAAATGAATCTGTCAAAGTCTTCTCCGTCGTCTTCATTACACTGTCTTCAGTCTTCACCGTCGAAACCCTCCCTCTCCCTCGGTGAAACCCCCGAAATCGTAGACAGCCATGACTAACATTCCGAAACCTCCATTTCTCTTGCTAGTCACTTGTCTCTTGTCCCTCATTTCCAGCACTGTCTCCTCGGAATCCGGTGATGACCGAGTCAGCGAGCTTCTCGCGCTGCAATCCAGATCCCAATCTGGTCTAATTCACCTCAACGACCAATCTGTCTCTCGATACCTTACCTCAGTCAAAACCCCAAGACCCTATTGGATTGTTATCTTCTTTGACGCCGCACAGCTCCACGAGAAAGCAGAGCTTCGTCTCAAGGAGCTTCGCAGCGAATTCGCACTCATCGCTTCTTCTTACATAGCCAACAACAAAGACCCTTCGTCCCCATCTCACGGGAAATTGTTCTTCTGCGACATTGAATTCAAAGAATCGCAGTCTAGTTTCGCTCTTTTTGGCATCAATGCCTTACCTCACATCCGCCTTATTGCGCCTCATCAAGGCCCCAAAGAGTCAGATCAGATGGACCAGGGAGATTTCTCCAGGCTCGCTGAGTCCATGGCCGAATTTCTGGAATCGAAGACGAAGCTTGTTGTAGGTCCGATCCATCGGCCTCCGTTATTCTCGAGGGGCCAATTGATTTTGATTGGACTCGGGTTCCTGATTATTTTACCCTTTATAGTGAAGAAGATCCTGGCTGGTCAGACTATGGTTCATGACCGGAAGTTCTGGTTGTTGGGTGCTGTGTTCGTCTACTTCTTCAGCGTCTCGGGTGCGATGCATAACATCATAAGGAAGATGCCGATGTTTTTGTTGGACCGTAATGATCCGTCGAAGCTTATATTCTTTTACCAGGGATCGGGAATGCAACTTGGAGCAGAGGGTTTTGCAGTTGGATTCTTGTACACCATTGTGGGTTTGTTGATGGCATTTATGTCACATGTTCTTGTGAAGGTGAGGAATGTTAATGTGCAAAGGGTGTTTATGATTTTTGCACTGTTAGTTTCTTTTTGGGCTGTGAAGAAGGTTGTCAACTTGGATAACTGGAAGACCGGTTATGGCATCCACGGATATTGGCCTTCAAGTTGGTAATCGTATAAGAGAGGTTTTAATTTTAATTTCTTCTGTTTCCTTTGAAGTTGATTACAAACCTTTAATTTTAATCTTGTCAGAAGGTATTTGTTACTTGTCACTCTTTTGAGGGGCAAATTTTACCTAAAGTTTCAAGTATTAGGAAATTTCACCTCTGCATACGTTCTGATTATAATCTGAACCCATTATGTATGGACGTGTTAGTGATAGATGACATTTCTTTGTTAGTTTCTGTTTTAGATGGTCAACCTGATATAGCTGTAAGTTTTGGACAGTCATACTCTGAATCCGTTTTCATTTCTATGTGATTTTGTGTTGGTTTTGCAATAGGACTATCCTTTTAAAATGGTTATGTTGAATTCACATGCTTTTGACCCAGATATATTAATCTTTAGGATCTTAAGTTATCTCTGCCAATTGTAATGAAATCTATGTGAACTTTAGTTTATTGAAAGGCTTTTCATAAAATTAGGCTCTTTATTTTTTTTGGCAATGAACTTCTTTTAGAAGCTGGGAAGAAAGAAACTGAGTAAACTGATGAGGGGTTAGAATGTGGTTTTTACTTTCAACATATTCTGAAGGGTTTATATGAACTGAGAGTTTAGGCTCTTCAATTAATCAATTTATGCGTACATTGAACACACCAAAGTGACTAGAACAAGTGTACAACTAGGTAGAGTGGTAGACGCAAAATGTTAGGAACAAATTCATTGAAACTGCGAGATTATAAGACTAAGCAGCTAAGAGGGACCCAAAAAAAAAAAAAAAAAAAGCACCCATTAGGCTAGGTAGTCCCAATCAAAATTATCTGAGAAATAAATAGGCTAACTGCAAATGAAGCTGAAACAGCTAGGTAGGATGCAAACCACCTTTTACAGCAGCTTTTGAAGAGTATTTTGTATTAATATCTCCCCAGTATGGCACTAGCTTAGCTGATAGCGATTGTAGGAGAAAAATCATTGTGAATGTTCATTTAACTTGATTCAATTTAATCCTGAAAGTCTGGAGCTAAGAAGCGGGTTAAAGGCTAAAGCCTGTTGGTTTCAGTGTGGTGAATGTTGATTCTTTTGCCTGCAAGTGTTTAGCTTCCATATTTGTACTTTATGGAGTAAACAATTCAGTTTCGTAAATTGGAAACTAATATATGAGGAGAGAGATAATTCAGGAATTAAATCATTGAATTACTCCCTTTTTATTAATTCCTTTCAGTTCTAGATTATTATGTTACATTTTCCTTGCAAGTTTAATGCTTATATGATGTTGAATTACTCTTAATGATAAGTAGATGTCATTAGCTCCTAAACAATAAACTATGAAGCCTGCGAATAGCATGCTTACCAGTATCACCATCACCCCCTCCCCACCTGTGCTTTCAAATTCGCACTCTTTTCCTTCTAGGAGGATCCCCCGCTAATGCAAGAACCAGCATTTGCATCACATTCCTCAATCTCTTTATCCTTAAATCATTAAAACCTAACCACTTATTACAGCTCTGACTGATGCAAAATTGATCTTGTATGGTAAAATGGAACTTTCCTTCCTGTCTTCGAAGCCTAAGCAACCTCGTCCTTAAGTATGAGCCTGTGTGTACCTTCATTAGCTTTCAGTGAAACGATGGGGATTGGGGAAGGCATTTCTGCATCCTAATTACTTATTTGGATTCACTTCAAAGCTTTCTGTGAATCTGGGTCGCTTTCCCCCAGAATTGAGCATGTAAACAGGTGACCTGGATATCATCTTCAATATAATATGCTGACTACAATGACGTCATGATCAATATGAATGTGCGTGCTTGGGGTCATAGCCATGCATGTGTTTCGCTCTTGTCCCTCTTTCTCCTCAAGTTGGATGATACTAACATCTATTTTTTTCCCCTTTTCATCCAATGTCTCGTTCTTAAGCCCAATCTTGCTATCCCTTTTAATATAGTTTATAGCTTCATCTAAGTCAGTAGCCAATATCACTTCTGATTTGATAACCCATGGCGTGACTCGTGAGACCTTCCAGAATTCCACTAATTTCAGCAAGAGGATAATTGTTGGTGCATTGGAGCTTTTTCATGAAGCCTTTTATTTCAATTCCCATGCGAGTCACGTGGATTCGGATCTCTAATGTTTCTCTTCAATGCACTTGTTGACACAATCTTCATGTTTTCTTTTAAAAGGTGATTAATAATTGTAACCCATAAAAAACAGATAGACCATGAAGAAGAAAATACATAAACCAGGAAATTAAACATTATATTATAGAAGAATAAAATGGGCAAATAAAATATAATATGGTGAAAGTAACTATGATTATTTCAGAGCGCATGGATGATGATAAATGAGAATGATCCTTAAAAAATGTTATTTTTTTTTTTTGGATATTTTCAAAGTGGTAAGGGCAACTCCAATAATTTGAAACCAAAATATCACGTCATTTTTCATGTTTTAATGAATGCCACTTTTCATTTTTACCGTAGGTGAGGAGCCTCCTCAAGATATTTTTGTGGCCCAAGAAGGCCCAAACCAGGGGACTTCAGTTTCTTCAAAAGGAAAAGGAAAAAATAAATGTGAAATTTGAATTTTAAATTTTCTTGAATATTTTATAATTAAGTTGAATTTTACAGAAAAAAAATTCAAGCTTTAGAGTGTGTTTGGTTTGAGAGGAGGAGAGGGGTTTGATGTTATCTTATTTGGTTTAGGAGGAGAGAAGAAGAAAAATAATTAGATATAAATAACTTCACTCTTATTTTATTAGTGTTGAGGTACTAAAAAAGTGTATATGTATTTTTTCAATTTATCATGAAGGGTATATTGATCAAGATATGAATAGTTTTACTTCTCCCCTTCCAATCCCTCCAACTTAGAGGGGACTCCCCTCCCCTTCAGTTTTTCAAGCCAAATGGGGGTGCGGGGGAGGGCAAAATCCTTCTCCTCTAACCAAACAACTCCTTAGAGAGATGCCTTAAACCCTAATAATTTGGATCGGAATTTCAAAAGGAGAAATTTAAATCAAAAAGGTATTGTTTAAAAAAAAAAAAAGACAGGTGCATCTGTATCATTTTAGAGTGCATCTATATTAGTTGTCTTAGTAATGAAAAAGAGGAGTGTTGGCTAAGGCAATATAAGGATATATTATACTCATTGCTTTTATTTATAAGACATTTTAAATATATTTTATTAAAATTAAAAAAAATTTAAAATTTGTTAACTCTGTTTAAAAATTTAATAATTTTTCAACTCTATCCATATTAAATACATATACTTCAATAATATATTTTTTTTTCACATTTAATTATACTAGTGTCATAAATTCTCTTATTTTGCTAGTATAAAAGTATTTGTAATATTAATATACTTTCTCCATTTTTATTAATAAGATAGAGAGATAATAGTTTTTATTATTATTATTTATAAATATAAAATGTTATTAATTTTTTTTATCACAAGTTGTTCTTTTTACCCTTCATGTTGGTTGAAGAAAATAAATTATGAAAATATGTATATTTAATTAAGATAAAGTGAAAAATTTATTAAATTTTCTAGACATAATCAATAAATTTAAAAAGTTATTTATAAATATGAGAGGGAAGAGTATACAGCAATATAGGGCTCTGATTCATTGTAATGCACAACTGGAATAGAAACGTGCTTCCAACCAATTTTATGAAAAATGCCAACAAAGCAAAAGGAATGTGATGGAGCACAATGAAGAGGCAAGTGACTTGGTGAATCTGATGAACAACAAGAATCATTCATGCCGACGCTTGCACTCTAAAAATGTCAACCAATTTTATATCCTGAAATTATTTGCCTTCACAGATATCATCATATCACAACTTATTCAAACTAATCAATCATCTTTGCTTTGCTTTCAATGGCTCAATCTCATGAATTAATTCTGTGCCTCTTGGGCAATCCTTTTGGATTCTCTACTTTTACCTGCCACTATTCTTCTCTATATATATTATAAGCAACTTCAAAGCTTTCACCAGCTAAGCTCGCTTTTAAAATCTTTTGGATTTTTCATGTACAGTTTCTCCTTCACTTTATGAAAAATTACCCCCAAAAAAATAAATAAGTAAACTGATACAAATGTGGGAAAGCTTTGTAGTCAATCCAAGTTTGATGGTAAAGATCTATACTTGTGCTTTGAGTTTATGAGTAGCAGAATCATTGAATGAACTTTCCAGAGAAGTGATTATTTATCTGCAGCTTTGAATCTATGGGCCAGCAGCAAAAAGTGATCTAGGTACTCCTTTAATTTAGTCTTATTAATAAATTATTCTAATATATTAAATTCTCATTTAATAGAGAGTAAAAAAATTATAATAAAAATTAATAATATGACTTAAAAATAAGACAAAAATAAATCATCTCTCTTTGTATAAATAGATAAAAAAAATATCATATTATATAACAAGATGTGAACTTGTGTTATATGGAATTTAAAAAATAAGTTGTATGTATATTTTGAATAATATACTAGCTCCATAAATTTTATAATTAATGATTGAAGCTATTTACTTAGGCCCTTGACATTGTATTGGCAACCTTTTCTCAAACAAAAGTTAGTTTAAATAAACTTCAACATTTTAAAACTGTATATTTTTTTCAACTGTACTCTTTTTAAACATTATATATAAAATGCTTTAATAATGACAGTTTTAATTAAAGGATAATTTTGGAAAGTTGTAAAAAATTTACTTTTAAATAATTTTAACTAATTTCTTTAACTTCTTAAAAATAGTAAACGTGATCTTATAAAAAGAATTGGATTGGAGGGAGAGATGCTCTAGAGAAACATAAATTGTTCTCTTTTAATGTTTTGTTAAATTATAAGTAATGCTTTTGTTATTTAAAAATATCATAGATTTTTTTTATGAAGTGTATAGTTAAAAAATATCAAAAATACAAAATGTCTTTTATTTTAAATCAAGTAAAACTTTAAAAAATATTATTATTATTAGAGGGGGATAGTGGCAACCTAGACAAAGAAACAGAGACAGAATCCAAAGCTCACATTAATGCAGGGTTGGTGCTGATATATATCTTCCCCACCAGACATGAATTTGTTACACGAATATGAATCCATCCAGTCAGATATTATTGTTAAACTGTTTAAGTGGCAAAATAAATAATGATTTGGCACCAGAAATTAAAAAAGAAATCTATAGTAGGTTTTAATTTAATGAAACAAAACGTATTTTTCTCTTAATTTTGTTCAACGGAACCAATCATCAAGGAACATATTTTAATGAAGGAATATGTTTATTTTGTATTTACAATTGGTTATACTCCCTTTAATCTTATCTTATATTATATAAATAAGACCATACCCATTTAGTGTCATTAAGAACATTTATAAAATATAATAAACATTTGAAACTCATTAAAAAAAAGCTGTTGTCTCTCTCACTTTTAGTTTAATTAATAGTTTTTTAGTGGTTTTCAATTTTTTTTTCAATCTCCTCTTTCCCCAATAAAATAAAATATATTAATTAAAGGATAATTTTGGAAAGTTGTAAAAAAACTTACACTTAACTAATTTCTTTAACTTCATGAAATTAGTAAACATGGTCTTATAAAAAGAATTGGATTGGAGGGGATGATACTCTAGAAAAACATAAAGTGTTCTCTTTAATGTTTTTTAAATTATAAGTAATGCTTTTGTTATTTAAAAATGTCATAGATTTTTTTTTTTAACATCGATACACACACGAGTCATGAATCAACACAATATAGTTTATTTATTTTGCCAACTCCATTAAAAATGTTTATTTTTCTGATGAAAAATTTAAAATATTTATTTTAACATGTATTGCATATACCTTTATTCTACTTTAACATAATAAATATATACCCTTATTGCGCGCGCGCGCATATATATATATTGTTCGTTTATTTTAGAAAAAATGATAGTTAAATTTTAAAAGATTAAATTGATGACAGTCAAAATTTTCTAAAAATTGAATTGTAAATATAAATTTAAACAGTTATAAATAAATTTTTATTATAATTTAAGAGTTACATTTAATGTTTAAATACTTATTTACAATTAAAACTGTTGAATTTGTAATTATTTAGATTGATATTTTTAATATATTTTAAAAAAATTATTAAAAACTTAACTATCATTAATTTAATATTTTAGGACCTAATCATCATTTTTTCTTTATTCTATTTCCATGCAGCAATTTTTTTTTGGCATTTGTCCTGTATTTTTTATTATAGTGAAAGTCATTAAATCATTTTTATCATCATATTAAAAACAAAAAACACAATGATATTGAAGCTTGACATGAGATTGTGAATCAGTTGGCCAAAAAAAAAAAGAGAGAGAGAGAGAGATTGTGAATCTGAATCCATCTGTCACAGAAAAAAATAAAATTATTTTTTAATGTCCCAAAATAAGTTTGAAGAGAGACCTCGACAAATATAAAATATTAAAAAAAAAATCAAATAACGCTGTTAGAAAATATTAATTGACCGTGTCCGAAATTTCAGAGGCCTCCACCAATTGCTTAGAAGCTTAGATGGCCTTTATCTGAAGTAACAGCCTCATGTTACTCGCCCCAACAACCAAACATGACCTTAGAGGCACCTCTTCGTAAAACTAACTCTCTTCTTTCAAGCCATTAATATTTACTCGTCCCTTCCGATTCTCTCTGCTTCATTTTTCAAGTTTCATGGATACCCACCTTCTGTTTTTCTCCTCTTTCAACCCCTCTCTTCTCTCCCTCCTACCCACTCATAAAAATCTTATCTTTTCATAAACCCGTTTGTTCTTGCCTTCGTTCTTCCTCTATTTTGATATATGTGCCTTCCTCTTCCTCTTACTCGTTTCCCTTTGATTTTTCTGCCAAGATTTTCAGCATAAGACGCAGGCTTTGCATGTGTCAGCACTTCCCTGCAAGTTTGTTTCAGAATGATGACGAATGGAGCCCAGAAACAATGGTTTCAGGAGAAGTCTTTTCCTCTCTGAGTTTTTTCTCGCAACATTGTTGTTATCCTCTTCAGGTATTGGTATATTATTCCCCCAAAATCTCTTACCCCTGTTTTCAGAATATTGTCGTTTGAAAGTAAGATATGCACATTAATGCGCAATATTTCTGTAGTGATAGTCATTTAGAGGGAAAGAGATGTTCCTGAATCGCATACAATGAATTCTTAGCTGAAAATGCACACATTTTCCTTGCAGGCAAAAGCAATATCTGTTGAGAAACTTTTGGTCTCTGCTTCTTCCCATTTCAGAGCTTCTCATTTCCACCATGTCAACCAAGATGAAAGGGATCTATAAAAGTCTCAAATACATCACCCAAATCTTTGGTACACTTCAAAACTCAAACTCTCGGATTTGTACTGTTCGATTTTTTTTTTTTTTAAACAGAAGTTGAGATTGTCCGCCTCAAAGTGAGAAAGATGTCTGAAACTCATTCCCATCTGAATGATGTACCATACGTACATTCTGTTTTTACTGTTTCTGAAATCCGCACAACCAAATTCTCAATAAATACAGAGGATTTCAAATTCTTAAAACTCCTTTTTTTTTTTTGCCCTTTTTAATAGTAGTGTTCTTGTTGATGTTGTAGTTGTGAAGGAGCGCGAGATTGAAATAGGGTACCCTACAGACGTTAAGCATGTGGCTCACATAGGATGGGATGGCCCCTCAGGGAGTGGACCCACTTGGGTAAGGACAAAGGAGGAGCTGATAAGAATATGATTTGTACACTTTTTTCAATTTCTTCGTTTGAAATCATTGTTCCCTGGTATTGCAATGTCTCATCATATTGTCTGTTCCTTTGTTGGGCTTTTTTTCCCCCCTCCTTATGCAGATGTCTGAATTTAAAACAGCTCCTGATTTCTCAACATCCCTTGGTAATTTGGATGATCGGAGAGATCCTAATCCTTTATCTACCACCATCATGCCCCCTCGAGGTATGCTATAAATATAATAAGCTTCTTTGTTGACCAAATGTTTTTTTTGGGCTTTTCACAAACTTTTGTCTTGGTCCAGTTAGTACATAGAAAATGGCATCAAATTATAAGAATGAAAAAAAAGGAAGTAATTTTTAGCTGAGAAATACATCTCATTACTCAATGTAAAAAAAAAAAAACTAATAAAAAATTAGTTACCAGTAAGTAAGGATAACAAAGGTACAATTGAATATTGCATATTTCAATTTTTGTACGATAAAAAGCGAGTGCCTTTCTTGTGCTGCAACCAAATGAGACTTTAGTTCAAATGAAATTGGATCTCTATGGTTCCTCTGTTCTTTGAAATTTTTGCAAAGTGACCAACTATTTGTCATCTAAATAAAGCAGAGACGACAATAGAGTGATGCGTGAAAACAAATATGGTGCGAGGCATGTGATCACACCAAGATTAAGTAATTAAACCTTTGAAAAATGTGGTGCCATTAATAATAATAATCTGTGTTCATGTGGAACAGTGCAGTCTCCCTAATCTGAATAGTTACGAGAAAGGGCGGATCACATGTCATTTAGTAGAACGGGGAAATGTACTTGATAAATATCTGATTCTCTGTCTCCATAGTAAGAACTAGGAAGAGAGTTTGACTGTTCTTTCACGTGACAAACAATTTCCCAAGGAGGGGAATCTACTGCCTCCCTTGACTTGACTTCACTGATATAAAAGGTATCTAGTGGGGTCCACATCAAAATCTTATTTTGGTTTATGTCAAACCCTACCTCAGGTCTGTGGCTTCCCATGTGATGAGTTTGCTCAACATGACCACATAGACCTATGATAACAAAAGTATCACCCAGTTCTGTAAGGTTTACTTCGCTCACATCACCTTTGGTAAGATGTTAGTGGGACGAACAAATATCATATCTGAAATCATGTGTCTACAGCCTATATGTGGCTGTCTAAGATGCATAAGATGACTTGTTATCCACCTCATCTAACCATGTCAAAAGCTGCAAATCACTGCCTCTCGTTGGCGAAGAATTGGATTATTCTGTGCTAGTAAATTTAAACGATGTGTATGTACTTGAATCTCATGTTTCATGAACCATATAGTCAAGTATGGGTAATTTAGTAAGGTAGTTCTTAATGCTAAGGTTAAGTTTGTGCTTTTATACAGGATTCAGCTTTCTGATGTAAAAAAATATGAACACATATACATATATATAAAAGCTATAACCTACTTTACTTTTCTTTAAGAGGAGAGTATCCCCTTCCCTGTTGATCCTTCTTACATATGAATTAGAACAGAAGAGTTCCATCCTATAAAACTGTTTAAAACAATTTGTTCAAGGCTGAATGTCACTGATTTCTTCTTGAGTTACTTCACTGTACTATTAATAACGTACCACTCATTACATGATCTCTTGGACCAGATAATGCAGATTCAAGCCAATCATCATCGAGCAAGTTCAAAGACCATCAATCTCACGAGCATCCTCGTGTTCCTAAAAAGCACAAGCGGAAAAAGGCCAAGTTGGGTTCTGCTAAATCCTCTCTAACTTCATCTTCCTCCTCCTCAAAGCATTCAAGAACTGCAAAACCGACAACAAGTGCATATAATGAGATGGAAACACCACCACCGGTTGTACAAGTCTAGCCAGGAACAAGATTCAGTGACAGCAAAGTGAATGGCAGAATTCAAGACCTTGTTCATGCAAGTTAGAAACCAGACAAAATCTTCCATTAATTTCTGTAAATCCTTGCCAATTTAAAGAGGAAAAACCAAAAAGAATGGTGAAGAAGAATGCTTTGCTGATCTAGGATCATGGGAATGTGAGAGTTTTTTATTGTACTGTATTGATGGTAAATTTTTGCAGATTGAAAAAGAACAGACTTGATAATCAGTGAGAGATGCTCATGTAACAAAGTCAGCTTGCTAGTATTTCATGTGCCATATGTGGCAGAGAAATACTTATGACTTATGAGATCTAAATGGGGTCCACCTGGAAAGCTAAATATCTGCCTTCTAATGTATTCACACCTGCAATATGCATGCACCGAGCAAATTCTCTGATCCCTGGTGTCTTCTTCGTAGGATGGAATTTGAGAGTCTAGTTTCTATGGTATTTTTATGTGAACATTTGTTGTATGTGTGATGTGTATTAGTTTGGAATTAATTCCCACAAGCTGGAGCTTTAACAGGATTGTTGAATCCCCGAAATTGATGAAAAAAATTTATTATTAAGTTGGTTGTCTTTCTGTAGTAAGAGCTTTGTTTACCTTGCCATAAGTTATTATTTCTACGAGACTACACTGGTCATATGCTATTGAGTTGCAGTTTTGCTTCCATTTCCGTTTACCCTTTTTTTGTTTTTAAATTTCATGCCAAATATGGAATCTCAATTAATACATAATAAAGTAACAAGTAACATTTAGCAACTGTTTCGCCTGAACCGTTTGATGTGTTTAATCTTGAGCAAGATTAGATGGATTTAGAAACGTTCTTTTTAAGCTTATTTTGGTTTATGATGGTTTAGTCTTTTCAACCTTCCTGTTTGATAATACAAATTTAAAATAAGCATAGCTAATACAAGCATACATGAGTCATAATATAAGGAATAAAATTTTAAAAAATCATTAGATAAAATATTTATAAGATTGGATTGTGGATTAAAGTGGGTGGTCAAAGTTGAGCAAATTGCATTATTTCCAATGAGCTAAAAATAGTACAATTTATTCATCAAACCCAAGTACTCTGTGAGATAAAATTTGTCCAAAAGATTAAAAAGAAAAAGAAAAATGACAATTAAGAACCTTTTAAAGAAATTAATGACAATTAAAGGTCTTGAAATACTGAAATGCTATAAAAAGAATATGGTCTTTATTTGTAATTAAAATATTTTTAATTATTAAAATAATCAATAAAAAGTCACTCATAAATTTAAAGAAAGTTATTAATTTAAAGAAGATAACTTGTGAATATTAGAAAGTTAATTGTAAATTGATAGATAGTTTCATAAATATACACTACGTGGTCACTTACAAATTTAAGAAAAATCACTTGTAAAGTTTTAGAAAGTTAGATATTCAGAAACATGATATAAGGCTTCTAAATTATTGATTTATAATTATTATTTATATTCATTTACAACTGATATTTTATATATTTACAAGTAACATTCTTTAAGTTTACAATTGATTATCCTTGAATCACAAGTGATACAGCAATCCATGAGATTATTTATTTATTTACAACTGAAAAAAGTCAATTTAGTAAAAATCAGTTGTTGTAATAAAATTTATATTTTAATACATTTTTTTTTTCAAAAACTAGTTTAAAAAGCTAAAAGTTGTTTGAATTACATATAATAAAAATTTATTTTAAATATACAATTATAAAAAATGACATTAATTTTTATGATTTGTAATTTTTGTTATACAAATGTTTCTTATAAAAAATGATTGAAAAATATGTGATATAAATTTTAAATAACATAAAATTTTATATGTCAAATAATTTGGATAAAAATATAAAATTTGATATGTTAGGGAAAAAAATTATATAGATAGTTCAATATATATTAACAAACATTTCAAAAGCTTACTTGCATTTTGTTTTTGTATAAAAATCCACCACGTGGTCTCAAAAACTTACCCACAATTTCTTTTTGTATAAAAATCAATGGTAGCATGGCCATATCAAAAAAATTAGGGGGATCACATCTAAAAAAGCACGTTTCAAAAGCTTGGGAATATCAAGTTAAGCAAAAAGCCAAATATACATTCAACAAGTTTCTCAAAATACATTTATAAAAGCACTTTCATCTCATTTTTCATACCGAAATAAAAAACATATTTTGAAAGTTAAAAGTTAGGTTATAAAAAATGTATAAGTTTTATAAATTCAATATATCTTTTAAAAATTTATAAATGACTATTCTTAAATTTATAGAACTATCCATCCATTTATAATTGACTTCCCATTGATTCACAATAATATTATTTAAATTCACAATTATTTAAATTAGTTATTTTAATAATTGTTAATTATTTTTCATCTGCAAGCAAAAACCAAGATCCTTTTATAACATTTCAATAATTCAAGATCTCTAATCGTCATTAATACCTTTACAAGATCGGTCATTTCTCCAAAAAATTCTAGACCTTCGGCTTTGAAGAACAGAAGCCATGTAGCTGCAAAAACAAGAAGAGGACAACGCCCAATGCCTGCAGCCGTCTTCTTCATCCCTAGTTTTCATCTCCATTTACAAATTAAATATCACAACCAAATTTCTGATCATTATAATCTAAATAACTAAACCCCTCAATTCCACAGAAAATCCAAATTTTTTACCTGTGTCTGCAACTACAATAACAGCTACAGCTTGTCCAAAACATTCATATAAGATCCTCCCAAAATTGTGCATCATCAGCATCACCTCTGTATTTAACTCAATACTTCTCTAGAATTCTCCAGCACCCAATTCATAAAATCACAATGGCTTGTGTAATACGGTGTTCCAGAGGCCAAAAAATATGTTGTGCAGTGACAACCATTGTTATAATTCTCCTGCTGGTGACACTGGTCGTCTTGTTCCTCACAGTCTTCAAGCCTAAAGACCCCATAATCATCATACAACCAGTGAAGCTTGAAAGGTTGGATTCTGTATTTTTCCCTGTTATAGAACTCAATGTGACATTAGGCATAGTGGCCACAGTGAAGAATCGAAACCATGGAAGCTTTACTTACCAGGACAGTACAGCTTCTGTTAACTATCGAGGGAATTTGGTAGGTGAAGCTCCAATCAATGGAGACACAGTTCCAGATCATGGAGAGCTGAACGTGAGAACAAGTTTGACTTTGCAGGTGGATGAATTGTTGAAGAATAAGAATTTTCTTGATGATTTCAATAGTGGGGTTGTGAATTTAACATCATCCAACACTTTACAAGGTGAAGTTAAGATCTTGAAGCTCTTCAAGAAGGAAGCCACAAGCTTGAGCAACTGTGATATATCTGTGTTCATCAAGAACAAGACTATTAACTCTACCTGCCAAAATACATTGAAATTCTGACTCTTCCTTTTAGCATTGTTGTTTGTTTAGCTCAGTAGAATTGATTCTGCACATGATGAAGCTGTGGACTTACAATCAAATTCGTGCAATTTTATTCCTGAAAATTATTGAAGTTTCTTGTGTTTATGCTTGCTGAATCAGCTTCATTGAGAAGAAACTTTCTATTAGCCTTCTTTCATTTTACTGACGAATCTGAGCCTTGTTATTTCAAAGATGAACCTTAATTTCTTTTCCTATGGATCGATAAAGAACAATGATTTGATGAAGCCTTTCACAGTGCCTCCACTTAACTATAATGAAACTAATCTATCAAATAGTAATTACAATTGTCCTTCCCAATTAGGTGAGGCCAAGTGCTTCATAAAAAATTCGAAAAATAATTTGTTATTATATACAACTTGATATGCAGGGACGGAACTACCTTATGGGTTGAGGCCCCCCAGAATTTTTTTTTTTATTTGTAAGGTATGGGAAGTATGTATGTTGGGAGATAATTTCCAGGCCTCCAAATTTTTTTATTATCATATGATTTTATACTCTTACTCTCATAATGTAATTTAATCCAGCCCAACTTAAATAAATATATGGCCTAGCCCCAAACAATTAACCCAACTTAAAAATAAATAAGACTGATTTAATTTAAATAAATGATTCAACTTTTTTAATTTGGGAAGAGTGTCTGATAAGCTGTCAGCTCTCTCACTCTCTGCTCTCGCTTCTTTCGTCTTTTTCGCAAGCTGCCAGTGCCAAGTGCAAAGCTTGAAGCTCCTACGCACCGGGGTCCCCGTTCCCGTCCAAGTCCAGGAGCAGTGATGACCTTATAAGCATGGGCGACTGCAAAGCAAAGTTATGTTTCTCACTTCAACTTCAGCACTTCCTAAATGGCCAAACCCCTGTTCAGTTCGACCTTTGGAGATTGGAGTTTCGAGTTCGGCGTCTGTGTTTTCGTTTGAGTTTCTCTTTGATATTTTGATGATGTAATGTTGATGAATGATTTTTTGTCTCTTTCTCTGATTTTCTCCCAAATCCCAAAATCAATTTAACAGAGAATGGACGGGGATGATGCATAGCAAAAACCAAAAGGTCACACTTCACTACAAGTCAACACTAACACGCATTAGGTACTCACGCTTGACACACGTTCATATTTCAAATGATTATGGCCATTAGGCCATGACTTATGGGATTGAGAATTCCAAATGCAATTGCTAAATTACAAACATGAAAAATTATATATGTTTTGAAATTTGGATTTATATGAGAATGAGATGGTTATTTGTAATTTTGTATTGTTTTGGTATTTTAATTTATAAGTTTGTGTTTCTTGTCACTGCTTATATTTATATGTTTTAATCTATATTTCTCGAATTTAAAAAAAAATGCTTATTTGTTAGCTTCTTATTAGTTTTTTTTAAATTTTTTAGATGAAAAAGACACTACATTCATACTTTAAAAAAAAATGCTGAAAGTTCACAACAACATGATGGAGGATCAAGTTCTTTGCTAGAAATTGAACCCCAAGCTTCTATTAAGGAGCTACTTCCTAAACATCCTCCTTCAAAAATTTTAAGAATCCAGACCAATGAAAATTTTGATATCACTCATTACAACATGATCCGGGATTGAAGAGACAAATATGAAAATATCTTGTTGACATGCGCGATGAAGTTTGGAGAGCTTATATTAAAGTCGATCCTTATCAATATTTGTGTTCAAAGTATCCAAAATCTAAAGAAAAATATTCTCATAGTTTCCAAGCATCATGGTTTAAATTGTTTCCATCATGGCTAGAATATTCTCCTAGTGTATATGCTGCATTTTGTCTACCTTGTTATTTATTTCAATCTCAAAATGAACCTTTTGGATTAGATGAATTTATAGTTAATGGATTTCAATCTTGGAAAAGGGTGAGGGGCGAGAGAAATTGTACATTTTTGGCAGATATTGAAAAAGATCATAATTCTCCATATCAAACAATAAAAAAAGCATGTGAAGATCTCATAAATCAATATATTCATATTGCTCATAGGTTTGAAACTTACACATCTCAAGAAATTATAGAAAATAGACTTCGTTTGAAAGCTTCAAATGAAGTGTGTAAGTGGTGTACTTTTAGAGGCCATAATGAGTTTGAAACATCAATTAACTGTGACAATTTTTTGGAACTTCTAAGTTTTCATTCTTACAATTATAAGGTCACAAATGTTCTAGAAAATGCTCCATAAAATGCATTATATAGATTACTAAAAATACAAAAAAAAAATTGCATGTGATGGCAAAAAAAGTGAAAAATGTCATTTGTAAAGAAATTGGAAATGCAAAATTCTTTATAATTGTTGATAAAAGCGGATGTGTATAAGAGCGCTTTTTGAGCTTGTTCATATTGAAAATACCACCACATTGACATTAAATATTTTTGGGCTTGTCATTTAGAGGATAAGGCTATGATGGTGCAAGTAACATGCATGGAGAATGGAATAGATTACAAGCTTTGATTTCAAATAAATGCCCCTATGCATATTGTGTACATTGTATGGCATATCGTTTACAATTAGCAATGGTTGCTGCATCTAAAGAAGTTATTCATGTCCATCAATTTTTTCTTCATTGAGTACTATTGTTAATATTGTTGGTGCCTCTTGTAAGCACAATGATAAATTAAAAGATGCTCTTGTTGAAAATATTGCCTATTTGCTTAAGCTTAATGAGCTTGAAAGTGGATAAAAGCTTAATCAAATTAATTCTTTATAAAGGGTTGGGGATACTCGTTGGAGTTTTCATTTGAAATCTATTTCTAGCTTGATAAAAATGTTTAGTGTTACATGTGAAGTTTTGATGAATATAATTGAGGATGGAATTAACTACTACTGCTTAATGTGCAAATGCAAATGCAGCTTATGAGATGCTAACTTCCTTTAAGTTTGTTTTCATCATGCATCTTATGAAAGAAATTTTAGAGATTTCTAATTTGCTTTATCAAGCTTTACAACTTCAATATCAAAAGATGATGAATGCAATGCATCTCGTTTCATCTATTAAGCTTCTTATTCAAAAATTAAGAAATGATGGATGAAAAGAGTTAGTTGTGAAGGTAAAATTTTTTTGTAAATTAGTTAATATTCCTATTCTTCATTTTGATGTTCATTATATTGGTAAAAGAGGAAGGGCTCATCATTAACAAGATGAATTTACAATAGGGTATCATTATAAAATTGATATTTTCAATGCATTGATAGACTCTTAGTTGCAAGAATTGAATAACAAATTCAATGATGATGCAATGGAGTTGCTTATTCTTAGCTTAGTTTTGGATTTGAGAAAAATACACGTATTGTTTAGAATTAATGATATTTGCAAGATGATAGAAAAGCTCTATTCATAGGATTTTTTAGCACATGAAATGCTACAATTAAAGATACAAATTATGCATTTTGGCCATGTCCAACAACTTCCTGATTTTCGAACATTCGTTACCATTTCTGATTTATGTCAATAGTTGGGGAAAACAAGAAAATTAAAAATCTATCCTCTTGTATATAGAGTTGTGATTTTGATTTTCACTCTTTCAATTTTTACAGCTATAATAGAGCAATCTTTTTTTAGCTATGACCACTATTAAGACCATGCTTTACAGCAAGATGGACGAGGGATACCTTTCTAATTCTTTGCTTTTGTATATTGAAAATAGAATTGCTAAAGAGTTTGATATAAAATCTTTTGTAGATGATTTTAATAACATGAAGGAGAGAAGGGTTAAGCTTTCTTTGTCAAAAAAAGACAAGCTAACCTTTCACATATTATTATATAATTTGTAATACCTTTAGTTAAATGTTATGTCATTTTTTTTTACTAAGCATTCACCCAGTGGATTGGAAGTTGGTTCCGCCCCTATTGATATGGAAATAATGTTTGCATAAAGAGTGGGTTTGATACCCCCAATTTGAAACCTTAACTTAAAAGATTGTAAAGATGATATAATTTAATTTGAGTTTTTAATTCAAATCCAAATTACTATATTTGGAACTCAAACTTGCTAAAAAAAACCCAATTGACACATTTAAGTCTTAAACTCGTTGTTAGATACCTAATGACTCAAATAAAGGACACATTAATATATCTTTGGCCCTAGGCTTTATAAAAAACCAAAAACCTAGATAAAATAAATAAATAGACATAAATGAATTCTAAATGGATTACTCTTCAGGTGATGCCTTTTGTAACTCCAAGCAAGTTTTCTTTAAACTCATTAAGAGTATTTTAAATATTATTCACGTTCATGAATTCTCATGTTAAGCACGTAGGGCCCAATCTTGTTGATTGTAAATGCCACTTGAAACTCTGTTGTCATGTATGACTCCACTTAGTTACCATGTAAGATGCCACATGAGATGCTATCTATGTTCATATCATGGCTTATGAATAATGCGGCTGCTAATATTTATAGGTTTTTTTTTTATTGAAAACAATCATATTTAAAATTTTATCTAGTATTAAATATAAATACTTCTTTTAATAGAAATACAAACTTCGATTCATCACATTAAAAAAGATTAACTTATTTCACTAAACTTAACTCTTGTTGATACAAGAATATTGATAATGACTATTATTTTTTTATATAACTATTTGACTAAATTATATTCGAGCATTTTTAAGTCCAATTAAGTATAGCTATTTGATGTTGATTATTTAATACATGGCATCTTCAATGTTTTTTTTTTTTTGGTTGCCCAAAGTATTTTAATAGCTGGCAGTTGTGAGACTAATACTCCAAAAAAGCTAAGCTCCATTTAAGAGGTTGTTATCTTTTAAATAATATTTTTTTATGTACATCTTTAGCTAACAGTATCTTCAATGTTATTGATGTTAAATCATGCCCAATATTTTTTAAAAACAACAGCGGGAGGAAGGTTTGCTATCCCTAGGTGGGATCTATTTAGTTGGCCTTGAAGTGTAGACAGAAATGAATCGGAGTGGTTTAATTTGTCGGCGTGTCCAAG